CATCTTATCCTCTAGCTAAGGATCCCCACCTTCATAGTCCTCCTTTGGATGCTCTCTCATAATTTCTTGTCCTTCTCATATTATAGCCCCCACAACTGAGTTTAATTGCCCAGCCTGTGTGCCATCTGTATGTGAGATGACAGCTCGACCTTCAGGAAGTAGAAATGTCAGCAGTTGTCTGACAAAGAGGGAGAAGTCTGGTTTGCTTCAGGAGTAGGGTTCCCAGAAGTGTCCAGTGTTGAGCTCCCAATGAAAATGCTATCACAGGATTGCAAAACCTACACAGGCTGGCACCAGCAGTTGGCTGTGGCTGATCTCCAGCCCTGAGGAGCGATGGATTTGATCAGATCTGGCTCTGAGCCCTGAGTATCAGCACAGAGGCAGTTCAGGAGTGGTGGAGCTTTGCTTGCTCCTGTGGAAATATAATACAAAAAAGTGGTTTTTGGATGTATCTCAGAATGTGTGTGTTTTCTGTAATGGCCTGGTCAGAAAAGCCAGGTCAGAACTTACTTTGCAAAAGCAATGTATTGCCATTAAATTCTGCCTTAGGGAGCAGCTGTCCTCAGGTACTGTGGGACTCTAAGAGAGGCAGGAACTTGAGCTGTTCAGTCATGTAAGACTCTGGATGATGGGGAAGGCTGTTGTCTGATTTTTCTGCTCTCCTAGTAATACTCTCCACTCTTGCTTTTGATTCCACTCATCCATCCACTGGTTTTTTATTCACCAAAGGTTGTAGAAGAATTTGCAGCAACATTTATTTTCACCCATCATCCTTGTCAGCTCTTCACAGGGAGCTGTGCAGCTCATGGTGGTAGAGGAGCTTTGCAGGAGCAGCTGGGGAATTGCACCAGCCTTGTACAGGTGGAGGGTGTGCATCCAGCATGGTGCCACTGCTCCTGGCATGGGGATTGTAGCAGTCTGTGCAGTGTGAGGGCATCTTGTGCTGCAGGAAAGGGGTGGGTGAATCAGAGCAGTCTCTTTTGGTCCTCAGAAGCTGGTAATCGTCCTTTAAATTTAGAGCTGTGCCTTCAGCTGAGGAGCCATGTCTAAATTTTCTAGGTGGATCTTGGCACCAGCTCATTGCTGTGCATTTTTTTTAGAGCAATTTCACTATTACCATGGCTCTTTTTGAGTATTGTAAATAAAATACATCTTAAGTGACCATCATTTCACCATGCTGATGTCCAAGTTGGCGGCCAGCTTCATGGTTTAGGTTACTTGCTGATAATTTGGTCCAGCTTGTTGCTAAGGCAAAGGAAAGATGCTGTTACTGAAAGACAGACAATGGGAGAGCATAGGAAGATGAGATAGAACTGCTGGCCTCTTGCCATCCCAGGTGTTTCATGTAGTTTTATGGAGGTAGGAGATACAAGAGCATTTGCTTTATCTTACAGTGTATTTTCTAGTTTTTTATCCTGTTATGGCATCTCTCCTCTACACACTTGTAAATGGAAAGCTTTTGGAAGAGGCTGCCCTGGGTGCCACAAGTGGAGATGTGAGGCAGAAAGGCCAAGCTTCCAGGGGAGTGTGGTAGGAGCACCAAGTCAGGAGACAGGGATGTGGTTTGGAGATGGCTTGCAGTGAGGCTGCATTCAAGTGGGAAGTCTGGGCTTAACGGTGTAAGCAGGAGTGTATTTGGAGATGCCTGAGGTGCTGCCAGGATGGAGATAGAGCAGCTGAAGCTAAATGCAAGACATCTGTGCAGAGCAGCCCTTTGAGTAAGTCTTCTTGCAGGATCAGAAATCTAGACAGTGGTTTGGCCAGCATGATTTGAGAAGGCTTTGGATGCCTGCACCGATGGGTGATGGGAGGACTCCAGAAGATGGGGGCAGGTGAGAGTAAAAGCAAATGCTGACCGAGATGAGCATCTGAAGGGCAGGGTGAGCCACAGCCATCAGGGTGTGTGTTTATCTTTGCAGCCATGATTATTTTCAGATCACAGTTCAAGGGAGTAAAACGTCAGCGCCTGCTATTAATAGCATTGCTGGCAGCGAGGCTCTTTCTTATTGGTGACAGGTGAGAGGAAGATAATTTTGTTTCATCCTGGGTATGAAAAAGTACAGAAATGAGACAGGCTCTGATTCAATCCCCTCAATCCTGAAAAGATTAGGAAGAGATCCCCTGTAGTCCTTAAGAATGAGGATATGGCTTGTTTTCCCTGGGTGCTTCCCTCCTGATCCAGATGTGCTGTGCATGTATTGCTGGAGGAGGAATTGGGTATAGAGCTGCAGCTGGCTAGGATCAGTGAGGAACGGTGAGCCCAGGTAAAAAGCAATCTAAAGAATTTCAATTTCTTTTCAGAAAGAGTGTGGAGGCATTGGAATGGGCTGCCCAGGGAGGTGGTGGAGTCGCTGTACTGGGAGGTGTTCAGTAAGAGGGGTAGACGTGGCTCTGAGGGATGTGGTTAGAGGGCATAGCAGGGATGGGTCGATGGTTGGACTAGACAGTCTTAGTGGTCTTTCCAACCTGAATGATTCTATGATCTAATTTCTCTGAGATTTGAGGGATTTGCTCAGAGGAGAGAAGCACCAACCTGAGACCAGCACTATGCATGGGGATCCCCAGAAGGACTTTAGGTAGCAAATCCTTGTTTGCAAGAAGCACTGCTCCCCAAGGAAGGGATTTAACCATCCCCAAAGAGGATCAGACAGTGCTGGGCTCACAGCTTCGGGACCCAGGCATTTTTCTGCAGGCTAGTGGCAGTCCACAGCATGGACACTGAGCAATGAAAGTACTGGGGACAGGTCATGTCGGTGCAAATGGGAGCCAAATACAACTTGCGTTGTTGGAGCAGATGTGTCCTGTCTGACGCTAATTATAAGCGTTTCATGCACAACACACACCAGTAGATGTGCCAGATAGTATTTCTTTTCATGTTGAACTTGAAATCATTATAATTAAGCTTTAAAGTTGTAAGTTAAAACTAACAAGATGGCATGTTTGCCTTGGTTCTACTTGCGGTGGAGCTGGTGTTTGGTGTGGGGCTGGGCATGTCAGGGAAGTGTGAAGAGTTCCTGTGCTCTGCCCTGGAAGCCATGTCCAGCTTTGTTTTTAAAACAGGCAGAAAACCTAAAAAGTTTGGGAAATATGCCATTTTACAAACTTCGGAAGTGTTTTGTTGAATAAGCTTTGCTGGCTGATTGGGCACATGGGTGCATACCCAACATTGGGTATGTTAAGAAAGGAAAAGCATTAATATATGGAGGGAGCAATGGAGGTGGAAGTGCAGATGAGTGGTCTTGTTTTGGAGAAGATGAGTCAAGCATCTGAAGAGCCACTCCCAGGAGCAGCTGCTGTGCATGGTGCTGGGCAGCAGGGATGGGCTGCTATATGGCACTTTTCTGGGGCCATACCAAGTGGGATGCATCCCTGAGAGTCATTCTTGTCATCTCTGCTCCTCAAATGCAGGAAAAACCCTGAAACCCCACTTTTGGGCTATGCCACTGGAGTTGAAATTGGTGGCAGTGTGCATAGGGACGATGAGCACCATGTTACTCAGTTCAGTGGTCCAGCAAGTGTGCTGGAGGGGCATAGGATGAGTGATAGAAGTCTGACAGGGTATCGTCAGGTGGTGCGCAGTCACCACATGATGTGCATTTGTGAAAATACCACTGAAGAGCAACGAGCCAGGAGCTGGTGGAGGCATTTGATCTGTGTGCAGAGGGAAAGCAGCTGCTGGTCTTTAGCACTCCTGAGTCTGGTCTGGGGTCTTGTCTGCATAAATTACAGTGTGAGTTTTGGGCAAATGCAAGGGGATGAGTAGCACTGTCACAGTGGTGGCAGAGAGGAGATGTTTTAACTGCTCGTGATAAGTGGGTCAAGATGGGTCCCAGCATGTTAAAAATTAGCTGTTGACCTACATAGCAACGGTGTGATGATGGCTGACAGCAGGAGCAAAAGCAAGTGTTACTGCTGGAACTGTGCATGGCTGAGTGCAGTGGCAAGGCTTGGAGCTGATTTATCTTGGGTGTTTTGTTTCTACCCACTGCTGCTGAGCCGTGGATTTTAGCCATCTCCTTCTGATGGGGTATCTGAGTCCCAAAGTCACAGCATGCTGAGATCTCCTCTGGTCAGTCTTCTCTATGTATGGTCACATTCATCCTGTGCAGCAGAAGTCCACGTTTTCCTCCTAAGCGAAAGCTTTGTCATAGAATCCCTCATTAGCTGATGTAATTGAGTAATGGCTTTCTTGACTGTTAATTAAGCAGCATCCAAGCTGGAATCACTTTTGCCCTGTGATGAAAGCATTAATCTTCTCAGGTCAATTAAAGACACTTCCTTACATGTTATCACATCACACATTATGTGATGATCTGCTTTAGTTAAGACCCAAGTAATTCATTCATTTAACTTTAATTGTTTTTCTTAAGTTGTCTTGCTAGTGGAGCCAAATGATGCTGCAGTGCTCTGGAGTTGCAGTAGTTTCTAATTTCATTGTTCCCATGTTGATTGGCCAGCCCAAGCAGCTGGTTGGGATGGGTACCAATGTCTCTTGGTGAGGTTCATACCTCGCATGAGCCATTTTGCTGGAAAGCCAAGCAAACACATGGCTTCCTGTGTTGACTGGATCTAGGGGCTGCAGTAGCAACCAAGTGTCTGTCCAATTAAGGGCCAGGACTCAATGAAAATGCTGGTATGACAGAAGAGCATCACTGCATGCAAGTTGGGGTTTGCCCATCATGACCCATCACAGCTGAGGATCACCCGTTGCTATTAGGTGCCAAGGGCTGAATATAGCAGAGACCAGTGCAGGGCCAGAATATGGTGCCTAGGTCCATTTCCAAAAGTGGCTTTTGTAGATCTCCATGGAGGCATATATCCATACTTTATAACTTTATATTGTTGGTATCTACATTTTGTTTTCTTAGGAACTTTATGTATATATTCCTCTGGAAATGAACATTGGCATGGCATTGCCAAGGGGAAAAGCAATCTGGGTCCGTGCTTTCAGAGCACTTTAGCCCCCCAGGCAGCTACATGTGGTGCTTTGTCTCCTGCAGGTTCCTGCTTCTGGGTGGCTGTCCTGGATGGCAACGTGGTGGGGATCGTGGCAGCGCGGGGCAATGAGGAGGACAACACGGTGGAGCTGCGCCGCATGTCTGTCGACTCCAACTACCGTGGCAAGGGGATTGCCAAGGCCCTGGGCCGCAAGGTGCTGGAGTTTGCCATGCTCAACAACTACTCCTCCGTCGTACTGGGGACCACAGCTGTGAAGATGGCGGCCCACAAGCTCTACGAATCCTTGGGCTTCAAGCACGTGGGTGTGGTTGAACATTATGCGCTCCCGGGGATGACGCACTCCTTGCTGGAGAGAATGTTCTTCCAGCTTCGCTACCACCGCTACCGCCTGCAGCTCCGTGAAGAATAAAACCCAACCACTGAGCAAAAAAAGCTATTTTTCTCCTCCCCCCCCTCCAAAAAAAGAAAAATAATAATAAATTACCCTTCTCTTTCTTGTCACCGTTTATTTGCCAATTTTGTCTCCCCTCCTTGCTCCCTCATCTCATCCTGGCTTGCTCCGTGCAGCCTGGTGGCCCAGCCTTGCGTGCTGGATGCGGTGGGGCTGGAAGTCAGCATCCTGCAGCCCAGCCTCCCAGGGACCGACAGAAAGCACAGAACCTTCCCTGCAACGTCGCACCGCCACTCCGGTGCGCCCAGTGTTCTCCTTTTCCAAGTGTAAGATAACATAGCGATGCGTTCATCATAGTGCAGAGAAAATTACTTGAATGCAGTTTTCAATATTTCACGCACCAGTAAGTATAGAATATGCATTCATCTTACCTTTATTTACTGGGTAATAGTTTCCAAGGAAAATGTGGGGGGCAGCCCCCAGCCCAACCCGCTTGCTGCAATGCATGAAGAGGAAGCGTGTGCACGCACTCCAACACATCGCACTGCCACCGCGGCACTGATGTTGCACTTTTTTTGGATGTGCCTCATCCTGCCAAATGTCTGAGAGCCCCTCGGCGTGTCGGAACCACCACAGCTCCATCCTCATCTCCTTCCTAAGACAGCAACCAGACTTGATCCGTCCGAACTCTGAGCCCCGATGTAACATAGCCGAAGTGAAGATCAGCCCCATCTATCTCCTGCGCTACCGTCGCCACGTGTGACCTGCAGTCCTGGGCCAGGCTCCGCATGTGACTTTCTCTTTGCTGCCTTTTGGGGTGGGTGTTCTTTTTGTTTGTTTGTTTGGTTTGATTTTATTATTTTTAATTTCTGTTGTTGTTCATTTTTAGTTCTGGCTTTTGCTGAATGGTGTCATTGAGGCATAATGGAGGCTGCAGTTCCTATGGTAACACATTTGCACATTAATGTGCGCACCAACTCCGAGCACTTCAGAGAAGCAATGTGACAGATAATAGCATTTTGGGGAGCTCTGGGGGGTGGGGGGCACGTACTTATTATCTTAACCAGCTGCTTGTTTGATCCATGTAGATGGCCTCACTGCAGCCTGCCATAAAAGGTAATTAACCGCTTTAATGATGTCAGATTTGTGAATTGTACAATGCAAAAAGCAATGCAAAGCAGATCCGGCATGTGTCTGTACCCAGTATGTATGTACAGTGCCTGCCAACTAAGAGTAACCAAGGCTACAGCTTCTCCTAGCCTGAAATATCAACTTTTATAACTTATTTAAACAAATAGCAACTTTGCATGAATTACGTCTTGGGGGGGAAGGGAAAAAAAAAGAAGTTGAGTAGATTTTACTTTTAAAACGTGGCATCAGAAATATAAAGAGAAACACTTCTGGCTGCACTTAATTTGGGGTGGGTGGAGGGGTTTCAGCTATGTTAACACCTTCAAAGGGAAAAGCCCTTTCACTTAGTTCCTGGGGGAAAAGAAGTAGTTACTATTTCACGACTTATGAGTGTAGGGGGGGAGATGTTCACGATCAACTTGGAGAGAGGATAAGGGACGTATCAACAGCTCTGAAAGCATCCCAGTGTGCGGGAGGGGTGGTGGGCAGGGTGGTGTGGGGTCCCATCCCTGGGCAGGACAGCACCAGGGCAGCCCCTTCCCCATATGTGGTGCCAGCAATAAGGGGGGAAGGGGCGGAGGAGGGGTGCTGTAGCGTGAGGTTAATTAATGCCATTTCTGTATGGGGCACTCTATTTTTAAGTCTTACTATGCTGTACATTTCTCCTGAAGCTGAAATAATGTACTGTTGGTTGGGGGGTTTTGTATAGTGTACAGAAATGGGCAGAATATTTTCTTGCTGCTTTCAGTGATTTATTAACCTAAGGAAAATAGACAACTATAAAGTGTTAGTGAAAGGGAAAGGAAAAAGAAACACAAAACAGTTTGTGCCTTTTTTAGTTTATTTTTCTGTTGCTATATAATCACTGCACTAAAATCTTTCCAGAGGGGAAAAAAAAAAACAAACAACACACAACTAGTCTCTTAATAAGGGAGGAATACGTAAAGCCTAAACTGAGCATTAGTTTTTTTTTATTGGAGTATTTAATTGAAAGAATGTTGCTGGTTTTATTTCATACTTGTGCCTTTGTAATGAAACCACTGCATCATCATATCAGAAACGCCAAACCTGGAATCAATTGCACCAGATCCCACAGACACAGAAGTACCAGCAGCCTACCGGGATTGCTTTTAAGATGAGCAAACTGAAGCTGGTGATGGCAGAACCTGCTGGTGATATCTGCTGGGTGCTGGGGATGTGCTGAGTCTTTGCCACTTGGCTACCAGTTGCCCAGCGAAGTTTGTCTCGGAACGCTTTCAAGCGTTGCTCTGTGACCTGTGGCTTTTTGGAAGAAATCCATCCCTTGCTCCCACTGCCATCCATCCTGGGCAGCTGGTTCTGGGAGGGAGGGGCTGGCTGTCAGGCATGCTGCTTTGTGCTTGCCAAAGAAGATGAACAGGGCTCATAGGTGCAACACTGCTGGTGCTTCCCTGGCTGGGCTGTTTTTCACTGGACAGCTCTTATGTGCCAGTGTGGCATCCATGTAGCAGTAGGGAGGAATAACTCCAGTGTGATGTTTAGATGCTGACCTGGCTGATCCGTCATATACTGTGCCCCACTTAGGCTGCACCTATTCAAATGGTGCCATGTGGAGGAGAAGTCAGAGCCTGTGTTCTTTTCCCTGGCTCAGGCATCATTTTGCTGCTCCCAGTTCAGCAGCAGGCACAGAGCAACACAGGGTGGTTCTGGGCTTGGTCCTGGCCGGAAGATCTGGACCAACTGACTGGATTCCTTGAAAACCTAATTGTCATCTAATCCCAACAGCAACTCTCAGCAGAGGTTTCTCCTGACTAATGTTGGTGGTTTCTGCCTAAGCGCATCTATAGCAGGAGCAGAGGAAGAGCAGTACATCCCTTGTAAAGCTTGGCTTGGAGTTCAGCCTTCCTTGGTGAATGTGAAACCACTTCAGGGCCAGGCAAAGCAGCTGGATAACTGCAGGGTTGTCCTCCAGCTGTGTGAGGCACCTGCACTTTGTTGTTCCATGGGTTGCATCTGCTGCCCTTGCATTGCATGGTGATGCTGTCCTCCCTTTAGCACCGTGGCTGTTCTGCTCATCCTCACACAGTGGGCTCTGCTCACGTGTCCTCAGCTTGAAGCCAGAGATCACCTGGGAGAGCAACTAGGGGTGGTGCAGAAGACTCTTTTTTAAAAGATAGTAGGAAATTTTGCGTTGTAGTGGCTCAGGAATTGCCCTAAGTGATGAGTTCCCTTGGAGACGAGCAGGGACACTCCGCACATCTCAAGCAAACAGCATTCCAAGCTCACATCATGTTTGTCAATAAGGTCTATGGGGAACTCAGCCCCTGGATGCAGGCAGGCCAGCAACGAAGAATGTGGTTTCCAATTTTACTTGCAACCCCTGCACTGCTGTTTATTGTCAGCTCATGCCATGTCCTCCCTTGAGTGAAGGCGGCAGCACTTGTGAGATGCTCAGAGCTGTGCAGTGCTCCTGGCTGCAGGGACATCTCTGCTTCTCCCTTGTGTTGCTGTCACTGCACCCATGGTCAAGGTGCACCAAAGAGGTCAGTGGGAGTCCCAGGGTGAGATTCCCCAAGGAAATTGGGATTTTAGGAATCCCAGTCAGGAGAATCCACTGCTCACTGAGTCTTTTTGATCCTCCGTGCAAGGCTGCTGCCTTTTAATTTGGTACATTTCCTGGCTGAGGTGCAAATGGATAGAGAGTGACTGCAGGGATCCCAGAGCTGCCAAATACACGAGGGTAGGAACCAGCTCTGGTTACTTCTGAATTAACAATCTAATTTTAAATTTGCTGGGAGCCTGCGTTTCATTAGCGCTGGTATAATGCTGTTGGTATGCACTCTCTTTAAAGCTTAATAAAGGCATTTTAATTCCAAGCTAACTGGAGTCTTGCGGTGGAATGTACTGTACCGCATAAAGAAAATGAATGGATGCAAGCTATTAAATAAGCTTTAACATGCAAAAGGATCTTTTTTTTTCCTTTTTTTTTTTCTCCCAGAAAAAATCCTGAGCAAAATCCTGAGCAAAACTGTGCTCTTGCACTCCTCAGTAACAGAAACTATGCACAGAGATTAGTTATCTCCCACTGAAAAGCTGCTGCCTGCAATCTCCTTGTGAGTACCTTTCATTCAGAATCAAAGGAGCCAGAGAATCCTTTGAACAAGTTGGTTAGAACACAGTGTGGCTAAAAGCAGAACCTGTAAGGCAGCTTAAGGAAGGAGACAGACAATTTAGCAGAGTCTGCTATGATAGGACAAAGGGAAATGGTTTCAAACTGGAACAGGGGAGATTTAGATTGGATATAAGGAAGAAGTTTTTTTACAATAGTGGGCATGAGGCACTGGAACATGTTACCCCATGTAGGGAAGCCCCATCCCTGGAAACATCCAAGGTCAGGCTGGAGGGGCTCTGAGCACCTGATGGAGCTGTAGGTGTCCCTGTTCATTGCAGGGGAGTTGGACTCGATGGCCTTTACAGGTCCCTTCCAACTCAAACGATTCTATGAGTCTATGAATTGGAGGTGCTGTTCATTGTATGAGAACCAGCTAGAGGAGAGAGCATGCTTTTCATGTCAGAGTAGCTGGAGATGGACTTACTGAGACCAAGAGCATGGAAAATACCTAATGCAACTGTAAATCCATTTACAAATAACACGTTTGGATGCAGAAGCAGCTACTGCTATGTAAGCATAATGAGCATATAGCTAACATAGTTTTCAGTTTCTTTGCCTTCAAAGCTTAGTCTTTTGACTTGTAATATGTATATTTGCTTTTTTTTTAATTAATAAAAAACTATTATTAGGTTTCACAGAGCACCCTTTGCTTTGTGAGTTGTACTTACAATTGTGCTGGGCCGTTAGCTTTAAGCCGTTTGTGTGCTTGTGTTATTTTATCAAAGCAAAAGTCTTCTCGGGACAAATGCAGTAAAGGTTACAAAAATAATAATAATTATTATTAATTTTTTTTTTTTTTTTTTTAATAGTTTAAGCAGATGTGTGGTATGCATTTGGAAAATGTCCAATGTCAGTTGGGGCTCCATGGCTCTATGTGCCCATGGCGGTGGTGTTGGTTCGCGGGGCTGCCTCTGCACCTCCCCTCTTTTGTACGAGACCGGTGTGAAATTAGTCTTGTGTTCTCTATGTCCAGCCTCGTATGTACTGTATTTGTAACAGGAAGCGGCTACAAGTCCTCAAAGAAATACGAACCTATTTTAAAACAGCAATAATTACACTGTAGAGCAGGTGGGGGCGAGCAGGTCAGGCCCTACAGGGCCGTGGGGCCTTGTGGCTGGGCTGCGAGTTGCAGGGTCTGTATGTACAGGATCGGGCCTCAAATGGGTCAGCACCACTAGGCCTCGTGTGGGGTGGTTGTGTGGAAAGCTATAGGAAATGCCATTTGCGGTGGGAGAGAGGGAGCCTGTGGGCAGGCAGGAGGCAAACCCAGCACTGTCACGCAGAGGAGGGCCAACGTCTCATAGCCCAGTGTGCTCTGCTCTGCCCTATGGCAGAATGTGGGAGGAAGGAGCACACGGGAGTCCGTGTGTCCACACGTCTGTGTGTCCGTGGCGGGGTGGAGCGGGGAGAGCGAGGCGTAGGCACTCGTGTTGTGTTCCCGATGGCCGCTGTAACTGTGAAAATTAACCAGACCTGCTGTGATAAATTTGGTTATATAAGGTTTATTTGGTTAATTTTTTATAAGTGAAAACTGAAAAGATGAAAGAGAATTGTAATATGAAAGCAACTGCTGTAAATAATGTATGAATGAATAAAATCTAAAACTTATGTCAGTTTTTTCCTAAACTGTATTGCTGTCGAGTTACTGACTACTGCAGAAACATCCCATGTTGTTCCCAGCTCTGAGTCCAGCGCAGGCACAGACCACTTGTTCCTGTTTCCACTGATAAATAGGACTATTCCTATGTGTGTGTCACGTCCTTGGATTCTATTTCCGCACTGTCCCAGCTCACTGACTAATGCTGTCAGAAGTGTCAGTGTTCTTGGAGCTGCACAGAGTCAATCCGCACTCCTGCACACTGCTGGTGCTGCCGCTTTCAGAAAGTACCCCACGAGGGCTGCACAACCCAAATCCCAGCCAGGATGAGCACTTCCCTGCAGCCAGGGATGGTCCTTATCCTGGAAAATGTCTCATGTGAGCAAAGGGTGAACAAAACTACGCAATCTCATTTTTATCACCAAGGACATGAAGCATTAGTGAGCATTATTGGCAAGGATGTTTTTGTGGTGGAGATACACTGGTAGAGATTTCCTGAGTCCCTCAGTCTCATTCTCTTCCATATACCTGTGCATTTCCTTATATAAAACCCAACACAAATGAGCCCTTCCCCACTGCCTTGGGTTTAGACCAGCACAAGGCTGTTTCTGACTCTTAGAATCATAGAATAATAGAATTATAGAATCATTAGTGTTGGAAAAGAACTCCAAGACCACCTAGTCCAGCTGTCAACCCATCCCCACCATGCCCACTAACTCATGTCCACTAAACCGTGGCCCTCAGTGCCACATTGACTTTCTCTTGAACATCTCCAGGGACAGAGACTCTACCACCTCCCTGGGTGGCATCACCACTCTCAGAGAAGAATTTTTTCCAATCTATGCTGAATATGCTTTGGTGCAACTTGAGGCCATCACCTCTCATCCTATCGCTGTTACTTAGGAGAAAAAGCTGACCCCCACCTCACTATAATCTCAGGTAGTTACAGAGAGCGATAACAAACATTCACCTCCAGTTTGGGAAGGCGGATTTGAACTCCATCCTTCAGACCCACTGCCTTCAGATAAATGGATCACTGCTGGAACAGCCTCTGGGGCTGCCTGTTCCTAGGAGGTTGTTTCTGGGGACCTCTTAGCACATACAGGGATCACTAGCTGAATAGCCAGGTAGCAAAGTAGAGTGCAAGGTCAATGCATTCACAGTAAGGATTCTGTCCCTGTAGTTTGTTTTCTCCTGACAAGCAGACACCTGATAGCAGTAGCTCACTTGGAGGATGAGTGTGTCCCTGACTTGGCCTCCCCCTTCATGCTGGCTTGTTTTACATAAAAAAATAAAATTCCCTTGGATAAAGACCTCAGCACAATGTTCTGCACTTCCAGACATGTGCCTTATGTTCTGAGATAGATGGGATGGGACCTCTTTATCCCTTTCCCTGTTGCAGGCTCCCCAGTGCTCCAACCAGCTACATATACCTCAATGCCTTCTAAACTGCCCTAGCAAGCCACTCCAAGCTGTCCCCTCCACGTACCCACAGCCTCCCCTCTGCAGCTTGATTTTCTCCCAGGATAAAGTGGGGAGGATGAGGCTGGACTGGAGCTGCCTAGGGAGACCCATGGGTTTACTAGAGCTGCGCATATTCTGCTCACAAAACTGCTGTTTTAGGCTAGTCAAACAGCCATCAAAGTGCTCCATCTACCAACCTATCTAGCCATTTATCTTTCATCCATCCATTCATCCACCCATCCATATATCCCCAGTACACAACAACAGCTGCTCCTATGTTATATAAATGTAGGCATCATGATGACCTCCTCTTCAATAAATTTAAAAAACAAGTGTTGTCCAGTGGCAATGAATATCTACTTTCTCTAAGCTTTTTTTTTATTTTATTTTTTTTAAAATCTATTTATTTAATTGCAGTTATTTACAACAGAAGTCGCCAAAAACAAACAAAGCAATATAGCTTCTTTTTACTTTCCAATCAAGATATGGCCATGCTCCCCTGGGAAGCAAAGTCCTCAGGGGAAATTTCCTTAAGAAATGAATTCCTCATGAAGCCACCACAGGATGTTCGTTTGGCTCCCTGAAGTCCTCATTGGCCACATTTTGGCACTGCTCATACGTATTATTGCCAGCATATGTTCAGACTGTCCAGTTCTCGTCACCAGAGATTTTGATCTTGCTGAAGAGATGAAAGCCATGCCAATATCAGCTCCATCACTTTACAGCAATTGTCTGTCAAATGCTGGAATGACAGCTGTTGGTATGGGAGGAAGATAAAGCTCAAAGATTTCATGTTTATGGTCATGTATGATAAGACTTCTAAAATCCATAATTTGTGAAGAAATTAACATATTAATTTCTTTGAGTTACTCTTTTTTTCCTGTGATTGACCATATTTGCTACTGTAATAAAGCAAATACAGTACCTCAAATCAGTTATAGCAGAAGAGGAATGAGAATCTTTCCCATCTGGGGGGCTCAGGCAGGGTCAGATGAATCATGCCCATTTCTCTCCATTAATGAGTAGTGCAACATGAGTCTAGACCAGCCCAGCAGTGGATGTCTGTGCTATAAACATCTGAAGTGTGACAAATCATAATGTGGTGTTTGGCTAGAAGTGCTTAATTGGACCTGAGAACTCAAAGGGACAGAAGGACAAAAAGTGTCTGCTTTATCAGCAAATATTCACAGGTGCTTTAAATATAATCAATTGTATTCAGCCACCATAACTTCAAGCTCTAACAGTGAAGTATGCTTCTGAAAGGAATCTGAAATGGTATTTAAAAATTAAAGCTTTGGAGCTGTGGTAAAGACAAATTACCTTCAGAAACTCACCTTGTTTATAATCTGGTTCAGCTCTCACTGCATCATGGTTTTATCTGCTAGAGGGAAAATCAATACATGACTTGTAACATTTATATTATGATCTAATTAATCTGTTGGATTCTTTTTTCCTAAATGGGAAAGAACTGATAGAGTAGGAGAAGGAGAATAAAGAGCTTGCTGCACCGTGTTTTTCAGTAGGAAGTAGGTGGTTTGGAGAAAAGGAAGACACAGCAAATTGAATTTGACTCCTCTTTATTTTTTATCGCCCATGTCTTATCTTGCAGCAACCCTGAATATGTAGCAACCACAAAAATTAGTATAATTCTTTCAGATGTGATTCTTTAGGGAAAAATTCAACATACATCTAATGGTCTTAACAGCTCCTATAACTTCCTAAGCTGAAGAATTCTTGTTTCTCAAATACAGGACAGGATTTTCTGTATTACAATTAGGGTTTCCAAGATAAATCTTTTGTGCTCTCTTCTTTGTGGAAATGTAAAGAAAAAAAAAATGAAGAAGAAAAAAAGGTAAGTACTTTGTCTTACTGGCTCTGACTTCTTGAGGCATCATTTAAAGGAATGGAAGAATAGTCATTTAAAGGAATGGAAGGAGTCAGAGAAACGCAAAAATGTCCAAATAATTGCACAACACTGGACATTTTGGCAGAGCATGAAGGGTAAGAGGCAGAACATTCTGAACCAGAATTCACCACAACTGGGTCCCAAGGAAGGCTGCTATCAGCATCA